CCATGGACAATGAATGAGGCAGGCAGCTCTAGGCTTTACTGCCACTCCTCTGAGGTGTTGTGTTTGATCTTTCACATAGAGAAACACTCCCAATTCTATTACTATTCATTTTATAGGTAAATGTATTAGACTAGCACTTCATATGAAAAGTAGCAAAGCATAATGAAGTCACTAAATAAATCTATGTAGTAAATTATTCATAATAAATGGTAACATGAATTCATAGAGAAGTTATATTCCCAAAGAGCCACTTCACTAAGGCCTGAGAGCTACTAAATTTTCAAAATTGAAACAGTGTAAATTTAAGCAATGATCACAGTAATCCAAAAACAATTTTTTTGTATTGCAGTAAGTGATAAGTTGAAAGCTGAACTTGGAAGGCAGGTTTAGGGTTGTCCTGTATTTTCCTTATATTAGATTAAATATAGGCATTTATCTCTAGACTTATTTTACTTTTCTTTTAAGGCTTTATTTAGAAACTATGGGTGCTGTTGGTTTTTGAACAGTCATTTTTCAATAGAAATAGAAATTATTTATTTAACCTCTCTATTAATACACTAAAACAGATATTCATTTCTCTACCACAGAAGGCAAGAACTTAACCTGATATTTGTTATTCCATTCTAAAGCACATACTTTAAGTATTCTCCTTCCAAATAAGTAGTTAATACTTCTAACAGAGAAAGCCATTGTTTGATCAATTCTCCCATGAAAACTAACTCTATCATCCTCTCCTACACTTGCATACATCTTTTCTCACCTATTACTATATAGATGTAACATCAGATACCACTCTGTGGCTATCAACATATTTCCGTCATTGCACAGGTATGTTTCTCAAATTCTTTGATTGGGATTATTATACAGGAAACCCCTAACTTTGCGTATGTTGAGCTCAGGAGCCAGGAATGGAGGGTGGGTAAGACCAGGATACAAAGAAGATTCCTGGAGCCACTAACAAATGAGAGTTTTAACTAGATGAGGGCACAGAGGGCTGTGGGCAGGCATCTGCTATGTGAGCACACATATGTCCTTGATTCCATTGATTATATACAGGAAATCTTAGAAAGTTGGCTTCTTGACAAAACTGATTATACAACAGATTATGTCACTGTTTCCTTTTGGGGTCCTCTGGTACCCAGTGTCAGCCATTTTGGGAAGATTCTTACCCCTGTAGATGTCTAGCATTAGCCATTTTGACCCATGCTGGAAATCCAAGTCATTTTGTGAAACCTAAACAGGCCTTTGAAGCCTCAAATCCCTTCCCCCTTGATACCATTAATCTGTGTGAATGTCATTCCCTTTTACCCATAAGATCCAACAAGTATTTATGCTTCCATTTGAGGAAATACTCTGAACTCCATGAATTTCCTTTAATTTAATTTGATTTTTATTTTATGTGTATGAGTGTTATGTCTACTTGTAAATAAGTGCACTCATGTCATGTAATGTCCGTGGAGGATAGAAGAGGTTGTCGGATGCCCTGAAACTGGAGTTACAGATTGTTGTTAGCTGCCATGTGTGTACTGGGTTTTGAACCTGAGTCTTCTGCAAGTATAGACAGTAGTCTTAAGTGCTGTGTCCTCTCTCCAGGCCCCCTCCATTCATTTTCAATTCTGTGTTCTCTGTTGATCTTGTTTAGTCCCCATTGTTCTAGGGACAGACACTGATAACTCTTACCTCTTAGGGCTGGAGAAGATTTGACAGTGACAGAATATAGAGATTTAAGGAACATGGTAGACTGAGTACCACGAATGAACCCTTGTTAGTAGAGGATTTCCACTCAAAAAGAGAATGGCTTAGGTTAAGACTGGATTGAGAGCAGGAACTATAATATCGACTTGTCCAGGAGAACTCATGGCAGATGTGTATAAACATAAGCAGAGCTAAGAAGGAAAGTCATTCTCATCACATGTGAAAGGAGGAAATTCCTAATTTGGATGGCTGTGGTGGTAGTATTGAGGCTCCCTCCCCTTATAAATCTTGGCCCTGGAGTCGTTTTATGTTTTAGATGTGAATATAGTTACTGCTCTCTTGTTTCACATAAAGTATATCACTGAAATGAATCCACAGGGGGGAAGGTAATGAGTGACCAATAAACTTTACAGGCACCAGTGAAAGGAAACTGTACATTTTTACAATTCTGAAATGGTGCCATAATTAACAGTGCCTGTCTGAGATGGAAAAGTAGCAATAAAGCATGTGCTGGTAACAAATTAATCAAGGTAAGATGCGATTCACAGAACACAGAATTAACACTGTCACTCTGGCAGCCAGAGCAACACATTCATCATAGAAACATCCCATATCACTAATTTTGCCTGGGACACCTGGGACCCTTGTGCCACTGCTGAGTTATTGAGATGAACAAGCCTTGCAGCTGTGCCCAGCCCTGCTCATTCCCTGATGATTTATTTGTATGTGCCCAGAGTACATTCCCTCATTCTGAAGAATTCTTAATAGGCTCCTTATAACCTGTGTAGGAGTCAGTTGATCATCACATAGGTTGTTTCCATTTCATGGCTATTGGGAATAAAACATGAAAAAATAATGAATGAAGAGGTATCTCTGTCATAGGATACAGAGTCCTTTGGGTACATGTCCAAAAAGTGTGGTATGGATGGATCATGTAGTATATCTATCTTTTGATCAGTCTTCACACTGTTTTCCATAGTGGCTGCACAAGTTTTCTCTCCTACATGCAGTGAATAAGATTTCCCCTAGCCACATATCCTCACCAGCTTCCATCTCTCTATTTTTTTCTTTCTCTCTCTTTCTCTTTCTTTCTTTCTTTCTTCTTTCTTTCTCTTTCTTTCTTTTTCTATTTCTTTTTTAATATTAGCCATTCCGACTAGGATAAGGTGAAATATCAATGCAGTTTTAATTTGTGTTTCC